TTTGTTAATCTCTATGTGAGTCGTTATAACCATGCTTGATGTGACTGATCTGCCATTCATCACGTTTTTCAGGCGTCAACTTGTTTAAGGTAAGACATTTGTCACCCTAGACTGGCCTAGTCTAGCTGTAGCGAACAACTCAGGTACGGGGCCGTCAACCCCGTATAGATCTATACACAAACTCTCGCTCTCCCTCGAGGAGACTCTAGTTATAACTACAGGACTGAAGGTTGTACACTAGGTAGGTACGAATGAAAGAACGTCTCACAAGAACCTTAACTAAATTTAAGCGAACAGTGTATCACATTGTTTACCGTTTTAAAATAATGTTTCGAGTATCATTTGATTACAAAACATTGGTGAATAAATACCATTTGTTTTTATCAAAGTGTTCAGTATTGTTTGTTATTGGCCCGATTAACATAAAATGTATCGGGAGGCCCAATAAGAAAACCAATGGACCTATAAGTCCCACAAACATGAAATGAGTATGTCCAGTCCAATAAGCATGTAAATGGGTCACTAAGGCCCAATAAACATGAAATGTGTATACATGGCCCAATAAATATGTAAAATGGGTCACTAAGGTCCAATAAACATGAAATGTGTATACAGGGCCCAATAGAAGTGAAAATGACGTAATTAGCCCGTTTGTTATTATAATGCATTGTTTTAGCTAAATTTTCACTAAAATGGTATAAAATGCCCACTTTTGTTGAAAATGACATTCTTGGCCCATTAAGCCAAGAATTTATATTATAGACCCATTTTTTGTTAAAAATGACACTTTAGGCCCATTAAGACCGAAAACTTACATTTCAAGCCCATGTTTGGTAAAAATGACGTTTTCAGCCCACTTTTGATAGAAATAACATTTTTGGCCCAAATTTAATGGAAATGACATTTTATGTCTATAAAGGCCAAAAATTTCATTTTAGACCCATGAAAACCGTGATTTTCTAATTAAGGCCCATTTTTATGAAAATTGATTATTTTAGCCCATTAAACCCGTGAAGGCCCAAATAGAAGCCCATTTTGTGAAAATTAACACTTTAGGCCCCTTTAGAACCGTGAATATCATAAAGGTCCCTTTTTATCTAAAAATGACTCTTTTGGGTCCCCTTAAAACCGCGAGTTAACATAAAGGCCTCACTTTGTGTTTATTTATCAAATTTAGCCCCTTATACGGTCTTATTTAGCTTTCTAGTATTCCTTAACATGTTTATTCCTTTCAACTTCATAGTAAGTCACAAAAGGTGGTTTACTTTACAAACATCACTAAGTTTAGTAGATATTTGGAGTTTGGTGAAGGTTTAACATGTTTTCATAACATAATCACAACATATAACATGAAAACACACATATACATGCATACATACATAGATCTAACACAAAAGTAACTTGTATCCTCCCCCAAAACATAGTAAAAACCGAAAACAAGGGGGGTATGAACTCACCTTGATGATGTATTCGGTTTTAAAGAAGAGAAGGAGGTGTTTTTTGGTCTAGCAAGCTCCTTTGATGAGATTTTCGGTTCCTAGAGAGTTCTAGGAGCAAGAAGAACGAAATGGAGTGTTTATGAGTGATAGGATTAACATAAAAATGAAGTTAAACTACTTGAATGGAAGTAACTTACCAAGAATGATGAACTTTGATGAAGTATCCTTGAACACACACACAAGCACACACGAAATTTGAAGAGGAAGGATGAGATTTTTATTGGAGTTCTAGAGAGAATTTTTGTTGTAGTTTTAATGGAAAGAAAATGAGAGTGATGGTGGGATACTCTCGGCCGAAAATAAGAAGAGAGAAGAGAGGATTAATTGGGTAATACATGTAGGTTTAATGGTAGAGATATGGGAGTTATTTGCTTGCAATACCATTAAACAATAATGAGGTGTCAAGTTATTTAGATAATCTCATTTTCTCTGTTTATATATATATATATATATATATATATATATATATATATATATAAGTCGAGAATGGAGAGGGTATGGAAAGAAATTTGGATGTTGGGCTAATATTGAATATTAACCGAATTTATAAGGTCCAATAAGGAAGTTTTCGGCTCATTGGGCCCACATTTGTGTTCACGGCCCAATATGATAAAAGGATGGGTTTTCGGCCCATTATAATCAAAGGAGATGGTTTTCGGCCCAACAAGGCCCATGATGAGTCTTATGGCCCAAAATCAATTACTTAGCGAATGTGGGTCCAATTAGGGCCCAAATGAGGTATCTTAACCCACAATAATCAAGTTGTGGGTTTATTGGCCCATTAGGACCAATAAATGATTCCTGGCCCAATAAGGGTTTGAACCGGGAAATTAGGGTTACAAGCCCTAAGTTGAGTGAGTGCGGTGCATTGAATTAGGTTTAGGGCTTCACGAGTTAGTTTTGATCCGAATAGTTGTTTTTGAGTGAATAATATGTATAACATCAAACTTGGAGTTACAAGATACATCAAAGGTTAATCATACATAGACAGAATTTCCTAGCCAAAAATGCTAGTTGTGACAAGTTGGGTCTAGCTGTTATTATTGTGGTATGATGTTTATATGTGAATGAGATTGTTGATAGTATCCAAGGTTGTTTTGATAACTCACCAGGCGTGCTGTTAACCCACTGGGACTGCTGATAGTCCCCAGGGCTGCTGATAACCCATAGCTGCTTATTTGTGTTGTGTTGTGTGTGGTATTTTGGGGAAATCACTAAGCTTTGTGCTTACGGTTGTTAGTTTATGTTGTCAGGTACTTATGGTTTCAAAGTGAAGAGCTCGAGATGATTGCAGAGCACACACCATTTGATTCCGCATTTTGTGATTTACTCTGATAACAATGATATATTGATCAAATTTGATTACTTTGGGTTTTATGACAATGTTTTTTTTTTACTGTTTTACTAAATTAAAAATGGAATTTTCAGGTCTTATTTTTGGGACGTTACAGAGTACCTAAAATTTTACATAGATACCATATATACTCGGCTTTTATAAACTTTATACAATTCATTATGCCTAGTGAATTATTCACATATAAGTTAGGGTTGAGACCTATTCACATACCTTAGTTAAGGGGTTTATAGTGAGACACTATTCATTAGCTAAGTCTAAACACTTAGCATACAAACACTAGTATAACCATTAATCCTTGGAGCGAGATACTTATATATAGATCTATACGGGGTTCACATCCCCACCTGCGGTTGCTAGCTACAACCTCGACCGAGCAATCAAAGTGGGTGATAAGTGTCTATTATCGTTACTACGAAATACAATGAAGTGATGTAGGTGGTACATCCAGTCACATAGCTCGGTTATAGGACTCACTATAAAAATTAACTAGAATCTATCTATCTCTCTCTCTCTCTCACTACAATCCATGGGCTTGGTTTCTCTCAAAATAGTTTTAAGTATGGATTTACTTATGGTTTCTCTCACTACAAAACAGTTTTAACTGTGGATTTACTTATGGTTTCTATCACTACAAAACAGTTTTAAGTATGGATTGACTTATGGAATAATACCTGTTAACTTCCAAAGTTCTTTAAAGGTACTTTACAAACTCATTTTCAAGAATGGTTTTATTTACACAGAAAATACTTTTTAGACTTTTTAAAAGTATCACTGGTGTAACCTGTGACTCTCACCAACCTTGTGTTGACCCTTAAACTACATGTATTCTTAAGGAATTAGTAATCGAGCAATTCAGACGACGGATTAGGCATCAATTTCAGGCTATCTAGCTTACTAGTTTTTGTTATGTCTACCTACCTGTTTAAGGAAATTCATGTACTATACTATTATCTCTAAGAACCATGTATTCATACATCAAGATGAAATACAAATGTTTTTTTGTTTATTGTTGTACTTGTGTTATATATTCAGTTTACATGTGATCCATGAACTAATTTGCACAGCCTGACATGTTCCGCTGCCTCAGCCAGAGGTGTGACAGACCTCTTTAAGTTCGCCTCGTAGTTGGTCTGGTGATTGGTATTCCTCCTGGGTTTGTTCGAGTGATTATCCTCTTGGAGGCATTCTGTTTTGCTATTGTAGTTTGTAGTAGATTTTAAGTTTGAGATGTTTTGTTAGCCATTTAAAGTAGGAACATTAAATAATTATTTTTGTTTGTAACAATTCGTAGTATTAGCATTCAAGCACACATTATTCATAATAATTTGACCATTTTAAACTTATAATTATCGTATGCTTCATTACTTTAAACATTAATATCCGATTATATTGGTCTTTAATATTCCAAAATGTAGAGATCGATCGTTAGGGGTACAACACCCTTATTTTTGTTAAAACAAACAACAACCAATTTAACATGTGCTTACATATTCTAACATATCCGAAAAGTTTGATACCTAAATTATTTTCTAGTTTAGCTAACAGCTTTCCCAGATGCAACTCATTCCTTCTTTCCTGTCACAAGAAATGCATGAATTGAGCCACTGCATTGGACCGTTCGTCCAACCTCACAACTTCTGTTGTATGATCTTCTACGAGTGTTTCATGGTCTTCTACAACTGTTGGATGATTTCCTATGAGTGTCACATTATCTCCCGAGAGTACTGCATGGTCTCCTACGAGTGTTGCATGCATTCCTTCAAGGTTTGCATTGCTTTCCTCTACTCCATGCGCGAGAGAGATAGCAATCTCAGTTTGAGCTTCCAAACCAGTCAGTATTTCATTGTAATTCATCCAGTTGATGTAGTGGTAGTCCATCCTTTGGTGGATATTGTCTTGTGTGATCTGGTATTGCTCTTGGTTTTGATTCATATTAATCATTTCTTCTCTCATTTGCACAGTTTGCCCCTGACTCCCTGCATGGTGCTTAGTTTGTCACTAACATGCCCGAATTGTCCATATAAGCGGGTGTTCTATTCAAATAGGAAGGTCAAATTATCAATGATCATAGGTAGTGGTGGTCGGAGTGTAGCCCCTGATGCCTGTTCTTCCTCAATTGTTCCCGTAGCCCGCCTTTCAGTTTCCTACTGGTTTACTTGATTGCTTTCCCATGCAGGTTGGTCTGTTCTCCTTTGGATGTAGGAATATCTCTTGTTAGGCTTCCTCGTAGGGGGTTTCCTGCCCGGGACTGAAATCCTGTCAGTGTTTCTGGCACAAGGGAATGAAAATCCAAGGAAAGAGCGACTAGGGGTAAGTGGAGGTGTGGTGGATGATTCTGAATCGGTCTTCATTATCTCTACGGCCATAATGTCCTCATCCATATCTTCTTTAGAATCTTCCTCGGGCTCTTCTTCCATTTCCTCTTCTGGATCCTTTTCTAGTCTTGATTTCTTCATATTGCATTGGTGCATGTTTAGTTGGGGGAATGGGTTGGTATACGACCGAATAGTATGGGTAGTATGGGTCTCCTGGTAGCACATGAAACATAGGCTCGTTGGCTAGTGGCATAATCGCTCTCCATAACTCATCTATCTAATTGAAGAACTTTAAACCATATTAGTATCTCAATTTTTTGTACATATTACACACACATAATAAGTATCGTATTAATTGTTTATATTTATTGGTTTGTGATTTTATTTTAAGTTTCTTAAATCCCTAAACTTTTAGTTTATCATCTGCTTCATTTAAGTTGGATAATACATGAGGTCCGACTATAATAAAACTTAGGTGCGCAAGCTACGTTTAGTTGTGGTATGACCTATTTCTTATGAAACCTAATTGAGTATTTGATCTAAATCCTTGTGTTTAAGTTTACCTTTTATTAAGAGTAAATTACATGGATGGTCCCTACGGTTTAGGGTAATTTGTGCGTTTGGTCCCTAACTTATTTTTTTAACTCGGAAGGTCCCTACTTTTTATTTTTGTTACGCGCTTGGTCTCTGTCTTACCTAAACAAACTATTTTTCCCTTTATTTTTTAATTTATTTAAATAAACACACCGCCAACCCCACCCCTCACCTTACCTTACTTATCCCACCATTTTCCATATTTAAATAATAATCTTTTTAGGTAAGACAGGAACTAAGCGCGTAAGAAAAAACAAACAGTATGAATCAAGAACGTAAGAAAAACAAACAATATGGACCAAATGCGTAACAAAAACAAACAGTAGTGACTTTCCCAGTTAAAAAATTAAGTTAGGGATCAAACGCGCAAATTACCGCAAACCATAGGCACCATTCGTGTAATTTACTCTTTTATTAATAGTGATTAATAGTGATTTATAAAAACTTTACCTATATAAACTAAAGATATATTATTTTTGGTTAGTGTGAGTTTTATTTTTAATTTTTGCAGGGTGAGGATATACATAGACCTATTAGAGTAAGCCCTAGACTATAGCTGTATTTTCTGAAAAATAAAATATTAAGTTCTATATAGTCGTTAGTTCTGATACCAATATGTCACACCCAAGAGCCGACAGAAGCGTCAAGGTTGCGACGTTACAATTGGATCATAGTTAACCACTTATGTTGAACATTCAACATACTTGAATTAATATATTACAGACTTTTAAGTTTTGAAACGAAATTACAACAACATAACATTTCAAACAAATAATAATAACATAAAACCACGTCAAGTTTATTGCAAAAGAGAGGAAATATAATTTCCTTAGAACCGATGTCCTACCTCTGACTTCTTAGTTTCTTGAGAATACATATTTTTAAATACGTCAACAAAATTGTTGGTGAGTTCCACAGATTTTGACTCTGTAAATTTTATAAAAAAATAATTTTTTTTATAAAAAGTAGAATGTTTATAAGAAGAGTTTGTGCAAAAATATAACAAAAAATGTAGCCGATATGATTTATGTGAAACTCATACTTGTAATTCCGTACCAGTATTAATGTTAATTTACTTATAATGAATAAGTAAAAATCAACATATTATTATGCAGTGGTATATTAAGTGGTTATTTTATATAAATAAACACTAACAATCTATTTAACATTATACATGTAAATTCCTTATACTACATACGACCTTATTTTTGCCTGTATTAGTATTTTTGTATACGGGATTTTGTGGAACAATAACCTAGCTATATGACTTGATCTTGACTCCGTGAAGCACAGTGAAAGATAGATTGGTGCTTGTTGTCCTAACGACGCTTCATCAACGTCCTGATAAAAGAGTTAGATAAAAATCAGTAGTTGTCGTCTGTTTTGTCTCGTCAAACGGTAGTTGTAGCTAGCAACCAAGAAGGAGGTGGCAAACTCGTATAGATCTATACACACATTATTCGCTCAAAAAGGATTAACGGTTATTACATAGGGATTCACTAAGTTGGTGTTCTTAGTTTGATAAATGAAAAACTTCTACAACAATCCCAAGTTTTTATTACAATTTCAAATTGTTTTTGTTAGGAAACTTGTTTTACAAGTTTATTAACTTTTGATATGAGTCCAAAAATGTTTCCTACCAAAATATGGACGAATAAACTTTTGATATAAGTCCAAAAATGTTTCCTACCAAAATATGGACAGTATACCGGCTATGAGTGATTATAAAAAAAATTCATTTTTGACCATTTAATCACTTGAACCCTTTATCGTGATTATTTTGTCAGAAACTATTTTATTCATTATAACGACATTTTTAAGATCTTAAAGTGTATAAATATGAACAACAATCATGAGTTGTGTTGTTTTGTCTACAATAAGTCTTTACTCATGTATCTTCATGCTTACAACCTTTTATAAGCTTTTTTGAATTATTTGTTCTAAAATCATAAATCTGACTTATTTAATGATTTTTCATGAAATATAACTATTTATTAAAAACAAAAGTTTGTACGAACCATATAAACTTTATGACTTATTTAATGGTTTTTCATGGAATATAATTATTTATTAAAAACAAAAGTTTGTATGAACCATATAAACTCTTTGGAACAATATAGGTTATAAATATGACATCAAATATATATATATATATATATATATATATATATATATATATATATATATATATATATATAATCATATTTAAAGTCTATATCAACCTTTATGTGTATCCCCTCGTAGATACTCACTATTGTCGCGTATCATTATTTGGTTCGAGAAAGTCAAGATGTTTCCGGTTCCTCCAAGGCTTGTGATGGAAGTGTCTTTTAGAAGTTCTTAACTTATACAATGATGGAGTATTTAGTTGGATACCATTAATATTTCTTCATATAACCATGTTGGTTATTTTTATGATGAAGTACGTAAGGAAGATTTAAGTCATTACCCTTGTTCTTTTATTATCAAAGTGGGTTGCCAAAAGAGGAGTTGAGCACAAGCTTCTTAGAAATAAAAGTGACGAGTTTTCTTGGGTTTATTGTCACTCGAAGATAGCTTCATATGCAACTATTGGATTCTAGAAAATGGAAGCAAAGAATGAGCTTTTTGGAGGTTGTAGGTTACTCAAATATCAGCCATTGTTTGGGTGATTTGGTTCTCGAAAACTTAGCAAGAAAAGGGGTGTTTGAGTGGTTTATGTCGAGTAATAAAGGGGAGAAGAAGGAGTTGTTATACAAGTTTCTTTCTTGGAAATTAGGGCTGTTCAAAATGAAGGAAAAAGAGAGTTGTGAAGCTAGATTTTGAGCATAAAAGGAAAGAGTACATCAACGATGGCTGCCTTCGATTTTATGCTTGGAACGAGAGGGTAGGAGCTCCTCTCTTTCTCTCGTTTTCTGGTGAGTCTCGAAGTGGGGGAGGGGCTAGAAGAGTGAGTGTGTTTGAGTGAGTAATAGAGTGTATTTGGTGATGTTAGAAGAAGATAGAAATAGAAGATATATGGAGGAGATATTGTGGGTTCTTGGAGAGGAAGGAACAAAGAAGAAGTTGGTGAATATCTCAAGTGTCAACTTGTGGTACTTCAAGATTCTAACGCAAGAGTGTATTGTACTATTAGTTCTTATGTAATTGTGGGTTAGATGTAAGGAAGTTGTTTAAAAGAGAGTGAGAGATAGGATGAACTAACAAAATTAAAGGAAGTAGTTTGTTGCTAGTTACTCCCATGTGCCTCATGATTCTCTCCCATATTTAGTTGTACTCTTAGCATTTAGATTTATTCTCATGTGTGCATGTATTTAGTACTTGAGTATCATAGAGAATATCTAGTAACTTCTTCCAAGTGCTTATTTTGGTAACCTTACATAGTACTTGACATTTTATGCTTATTCTCTGTATATTTCATTTCTTCCTTTATCACATGGCCTTCCTTGACATGCATTTGCGTTTCATCTGTACCCTTTTATGACACGCAATGCATGTCATTAAATGGTATTTTTCTAGTAGTGATTCCCTTTTATATATGTATAAGATTATATTTTTTACATGTATTTTTGTTGGATTAGTGTCTAAGTCCATAACTATAATTGGTATGTACTTGACCCGACTCGGCATGGTCCATTTGGGTTGCATGGCATCGGAACATTTGGATAGACGGTTTATGAGGAAAAGACATTTTGTGACATATTAATATATTATAAATTCTAATATATTAATATGAAATCATGTTATTTAATTAGTATTGATCAAGAATTAATTTGGACTTAATTTAGTGATCAAAAAGAGACTAATTAAATATATGGGGATTGATTGTGTAAATCATTCATTCTTATATATGTGGGCTTATGATCCAAGATTCCTTTATGTTGGGTTTAACCCATATGGTGATCCATGGATACTCCATGGAGGTTAAAACCCGTGGAGCATAAGGAATGGGAAAAGTCATGAGTTACATGGTGTAACCCTAATAGCCACACTATATAAGAACCCCTTTAGTTCAAGAAATTGGCACTAGTGATACATATTTTGAGGGCTAGCCGATTTGAACATATATGTCTTCTTCTCATGGTTATTCCAAGAGTTCATGATGTTGTGTGAACCATTTGAGGTGTCACACTTGGGGCACTAGGCTCTCAAGCTTCATGGAGTCAAGCAACAACAACAAGGTATGTATTCTATCTATTTTATTATCCTAGTATCAATGTTTTGGTATGCTAATTAGGATAATATCTTGGATAATCATATTTGCATGTATTATAGAGAAAACATAGATCCAAGGTATTTAGGGTTGCATGTACACTTAGGAGTGTTAGAATGCTCAAAACCCAACAGTGGTATCAGAGCCTAGGCTTGTTTTCAATTATACTTGATGCAAATTGCTGAAAAATGCTGAAAAAGTCGAATTTCGGGCATTTTGGGCACTGGACTCGCCGAGTCCACTGATGAACTAGCCGAGTCCATGAAGAAAATCATCCTACTCGGCGAGTAGGTTGATACACTCGACGAGTAGGAGCCCCAGACAGCATATTTTCGAGTTTTTTGGCTAGAAATGG